CTAACAAAGATTTAAACTATAGATTTTATCCTGATTCTTTTATTTTTCCCAGCTTTTGTGTGTTTTCCTAGTTCTTCTAAAAATTGTCTGTTATTTTCAACTATAAAAACGTGTGTTTTCGCCTACATATTTGATTTACAGCCCTTCAAAAACGCTCAATTACCCTGGATCACCCATAATGCATTGCGTTAAACGCGAAATTCAAGATGGCGTCGCTATTGGTGAATAGGTGAATTGCAAGTGATCTATAACTTGTCCCGCGGTAAAGATGTATTTGTCGTGGCTTTACACGCTCTTTCCATAATGTTTGCGATCGATACGTTGTGACCATCACCTGACAACGGTCACGGTCCGTTGTGACCATCACCTGTCATCTGTTGTTGTTTTGATGTCACCACTGATTTCCCTCATGGATGATCAAATGGCTAAAATGGCCGAACGAGGAATACCTTGTGTCAAACTCACCGATCGGCTAATTATTTATCGTGCTGTAATTGACAAGTTTATACTTTCTTTCTAAATTATAACAATAGTATTTGCGACTTGACAGCAATATTTTTAACACCGATTTCTGTTACGTAGTTGCATATTTCTCCGGCAAAAGGCTGGGGTTTTTTGTTAATAATATTATAGCAGTTTTGCATGTTTGTTAAAATAGTCGCATGCGCAACGATGGAACACAAATGTTCGGGTCAACATTTAAATATCTTTGTCGTCGGAAAACTGCAATGATCTGGCTGAAAATCGACAATTTCTTTCGTCAACACGCGCTGTGTTCGATGGTGGATATCTAATCGAATTTGGCGAGGCTTGTATTGTTTATCTTTTCTTTCAAGGGCTAATATTTTCTTTATAACGTGTAATTTTCTACAGCCCTATTTGCATTATTTCTGCAATTTCGACAGCAACGCCAACGGCGAGACAGTCCAGTTCAGGCTTATCTTATCTGATGGACAAACTATATGCCTTAATTAGAAAGAGAATCGCTTTGGTGTATAATCACCTTCTGCACTGAACAGTACATTTCTCCTAGAAGGCGGACAGAGTCCCTTGTATATATATTCGACATCGTACTTCGGTTGACATTTTATATTTCATGTGTAGTTTTTAGCGTGCGCTGAACAGGTGCAAGGGTTTTTTTCCCTTTTCCTGGGGCCGGTTGTATAAAAACGTAATTAGCGCTAACTGTAGTTAGCGTTAATCACTGTAGTTAAATCCTTAACTGTAATTAGATAACTACATGACTTAACTGCGTTGCACAAAACGTAATTAGTCGGATAGTTAACTAATCACGTAGTTAACTGTGCGTGGGGCGTTTAAACACCAAATTACATAAAGTAAGCAGCGAGTAACGACCTCTGACACACATTTGCAACATGATTGTGGACTCGTATTTTGCAAATAGGCGGGAATTTTATTCAAAACACTAGAAAACAGTGAAAAATAAACAAGAAAACAAGGAAAAACCTCCACAAAAATCATAAAAGAATGCAGTTTTTCCTTGAGATGTCTACGTTAAACCAAGGTCTAGCTGTTTGGCAATTATATATCAGTGTTTCTTGGTGTAATGGACCATACTTC